GACCGATGCTGTCTCCCTGGGGAGGGTGAATTCCAACGAGCCCCCCCACCCCTGCTGTGGGGCCCCTTATCGCTGTGGGCTAGGGACTCCCCGCCCCAAATGTGGCGCGGGGGGTAGCCGGGATTCCCTAGGCCCGTGGACAGAGTCACCCCGGGGTCACCATCACCACCCCCGTGTCCCCAGCCAGCGGGGGGAGGCGAAGATCTCTCTCGGGCCGTAGACGGGCTGCGAAATCCCCCACAGGCCCAGCCACTGCCAGCAGCATCGGTAATAACCCCCCATTAGCCCAGCTTCCCGCTGCCCCAAAGGACAGAGAGGTGCAGGTGCCTTTCCCCCGCTCCAGGATTTCAGAAAGTGTGTAGAGCAGTCACTGGTCAGTATTAACAGGAATAGCTGCCTTGCAGGCCCCTTGGCCGCCAGGCAGGATGCTGTACAGGAGAGGTGGTTGTTGCCTATTGTTTCCCAGTCCCTAAAACAATGCTGGGGGCTTTGCAGAACCAAGCAGAGGTACAGTTGTGTTAGGGGAGCCGTTCAGGATTTTTTTTGTCACATAGGCTATGTTTACACTCGCGGCTTCTTGCGCAAGTACAGAATCTGCAGAGCGTCCACACTACCCGCCTGCTCTTGCGCAAGTAAATGTACAGTACGGCGTGGTAAGAGGGGGCTCCTTGCGCAAGAGCTACGCTCTCTTTTGATAGGTGTAAGCCCTCTTGCACAGGAGCTCTTGCGCAAGAGGGCAGTGTGGACACTCAGCGGGATTTCTTGCGCAAGAAAGCCCTATGGCTAAAATGGCCGTCAGAGCTTTCTTGCGCAAGAAAGCGTCCACGCTGCCATGGGCGCTCTTGTGCAGAAGCACAGTTCGCACATGGCAGTGTGGATGTTTTCTTGTGCAATAGTTCTTGCACAAGAACACTTGCGCAAGATGTTCTTGCGCAAGAAGCCGCGAGTGTAGACATAGCCCAAGTGTGGTGCAGCAGTGCCAGGTGTCTCTCAGGTTCCCTGCAGAGTTAACGGCCTCCAGAAATTCTGCTTTTTTAATAAATAAACATTGTTTTAAAACTATATTGACTGAAATGTCAAAATGGATTTAGACTAGGGTAAAGTCAACTCCATGGTCTCCAAAAAGGCTTTATTATGGGGAGTAAAGTATCATGGCACATTTCTGCTGTTTTTGCAGGCTGTGTAAGATTTATTTATCAAGATGTGTTTATTTTATCTTCACTGTTGGCATGCTGTTATTGTCTTAAACAAGATCCACATTTTTTAAAATAGTTTATTAATTATGTAGCTTTTCTTAATTTGTATTTCTTTTCTGCTCTTTTTTTTATTATTCTCTGAAAAGTGTTTTGAGATAGGAGTTGTCAATATAGTATAGTAAGTCACCTATGTGAGAAACCTATAAAGCCCTGATCTTGCAAACACTTACGTAAAAGTAAGATGTAAGAGTGTAATAGTGTAAGGCTGTGTCTACATTGGCATCCCTTTCCGGAAAAGGGTTGCTAATGAGACACTTCGGAATTGCAAATCCACGGGGGATTTAAATATCCCCCGCGGCATTTGCATTTACATGGCTGCCGCTTTTTTCCGGCTCGGGGTTTTTGCCGGAGAAAAGCGCCAGTCTAGACGCGATTTTCCGGAAAATAAGCCCTTTTCCGGAGGATCCCTTATTCCTACTTTCAAGTATTTCAAGTATTTGAAAGTAGGAATAAGGGATCCTCCGGAAAAGGGCTTATTTTCTGGAAAATCGCGTCTAGACTGGCGCTTTTCTCCGGCAAAAACCCCGAGCCGGAAAAAAGCGGCAGCCATGTAAATGCAAATGCCGCGGGGGATATTTAAATCCCCCGCGGATTTGCAATTCCGAAGTGTCTCATTAGCATCCCTTTTCTGGAAAGGGATGCCAATGTAGACACAGCCTAAATGTTTAACTGACAGGCATCAGCATACCAGTTTCCATTATAGTGACACTCAGGCTCCCAGCCTGGCTCCTGAGCAGTCGGCTGCTGCCTCACACTGTATCAGAGCTTGCAGTGCAGGACAGCGGCCAGCTGTCCAGGAACGGGGCTGGCAACAGGGCGCTAGTGCTTGTAAGCCAGATGCGGTGAACCTGCTCCAGCTGCCAGCCCTGCTCCCAGGTAGCCTGCTGTCACCCTGCACTGCGAACTCAGCAGTATAAAGCTTTTACACAACCCTCGCACGTAAGTAGTCCAATCAATTTCAATAGGACTGGTCATGTGTCAAATTAAGCACGTATTTGTTTTCAAAATCATCTTCTTGCTGAGGCTATTGAATGAAGTTTTAAAGGAAGATAATGATTTCCATAAGAACACTGTGTTGTTGACCCTGTGCAAGAACCATAGTGAATAGAAGATTTTATGTAGGACCAACAAATATTGGATGTGTGACCCGAAAACAGTATTCATGAGAGCAGCTTCATTGTCTTCAGTATGACTGCTTAAGTGAATAAGGATGACAGGATTGGGCGAAAAGCTTACTCTTGCTGGCTCTGCAATGAAAGTTAACTAATAAATATTATTCTCAGGACTGTGCTTACATGATTGGTTACTTATTTATGTTCCAATATAATCAAAATCAACTGTGTTCACTTTAGGACTTCAAGAAATCCCAAGAAAAATCAATAAAAGTTAAAATTAAAAGATATTCTATACAATTAGAGAGTAAAAAATGAAAATAAATGTAATTTTGTAGCTGCTATGAACCAATATTGCACACCTATTAGCATCCTGTTTACAAATTGAAGACCTCATCCTGTGTCACTTATTCCTATGAGTAACCGCAGTGGCTACATCTAGACTGGCATGATTTTCCGCAAATGCTTTTAATGGAAAAGTTTTCCGTTAAAAGCATTTGTGGAAAAGAGCGTCTAGATTGGCACGGACGCTTTTCTGCAAAAGCACTTTTTGCGGAAAAGCGTTCGTGCCAATCTAGACGCGCTTTTGCGCAAAAAAGCCCCGATCGCCATTTTCGCAATCGGGGCTTTTTTGCTCAAAACAAATCTGAGCCGTCTACACTGGCCCTTTTGCGCAAAAGCTTTTGTGCAAAAGGACTTTTGCCCGAACGGGAGCAGCATAGTATTTCTGCAAGAAGTACTGATTTCTTACATGAGATCATCAGTGTTCCTGCAGAAATTCAAGCGGCCAGTGTAGACAGCTGGCAAGTTTTTCCTCAAAAGCAGCTGCTTTTGTGGAAAAACTTGCCAGTCTAGACACAGCGAGTGAGTATTGTGGAGCTACTCACAGAAGTGAGTACAGGTTGAACCTCCCAAATCTGGGACTCTCTGGTCCATCAACATCCATGGTCCAGAAAGAAGGACCACAAATGTTGCTGAACAAGAGAGCCCCGGAAGCAAGGAACATGAGCCAGCTGGGAGTCTCGCAGGTGCTGGGGAGCCCCAGGTGGGCAGGGGTGATCTGGCGGAGAGTGGGGAGTCCAGCCCTGTGGAGCCCTAGGTCGTGAGCCCCTGCCGCAGCTAAAAGGAATCCCTGGTTCTAGATAGGAACTCAGCAGCTGAACTAGTGGTGGGTGCAGGGAATCCCTAGCTGAGAACCCTGGTGGAAATGGGGCCAGGGAAATGGAGGCAGCCAGAGGGGGATGCCTTGTAGGAGCAGGGCCAGTGGCAGCCAGAGAGTATCCCCTGCCCTGGGCCGGAACCCCAGCATCAGTGGAGCCAGCAGGAGACCCCATCCCAGCCAGGAACCCAGGCAGAGAGGCGCTACCGGTGACTGGGGGGAATCCCAGCCTGAGGAGGCTGACTCTGGGAGCCCTGGTGTTGGGCCACCAGCGAGGCAGGAAGACCAGGCTCTGTGGACACTCACAGCCCAGAAAGGAGTCTTGACCTCCCCTTGTCGGGCAAACTCTGTAGTATCTGCATGATTAGGGGCATCAATAGTAAGAATTATAGAATCATAGAATAATAGGACTGGAAGGGACCTCAAGAGGTCATCGAGTCCAGCCCCCCACCCTCAAGGCAGGACCAAGCTCCGTCTACACCATCCCTGACAGATGTCTATCTAACCTGTTCTTAAATATCTCCAGAAAGGGAGATTCCACCACCTCCCTTGGCAATTTATTCCAATATTTGACCACCCTGACAGTTAGGAATTTTTTCCTAATGTCCAATCTAAACCTCCCCTGCTGCACTTTAAGCCCATTACTCCTTGTCCTGTCCTCAGAAACCAAGAGGAACAAATTTTCTCCTTCCTCCTTGTGACACCCTTTTAGATATTTGAAAACCGCTATCATGTCCCCCCTTAATCTTCTTTTTTCCAAACTAAACAAGCCCAGTTATAATGAGTGAAACACAAATTCACAAAAGTGAGAGGATGTTGATCATGACTACAGTTTCCTCTGTGAAAGATGTGCATGGTACAGTATTTTAACCACAGGACTGAAAACCAGGAACTCCTAAGGTCTAATCCCAGCTCTTACATTGTTTTGCTTTGTGATTTTAGTGCAGTGTCTCCTAGAAGTCAATAATCCCTTGACTGTTTCAGACCAAGCAAGTGGGGAAGGAAGGTTAGCTGGTTCCAGAGCAGTTTAGAACCGCCTTCTATTTGTATGTTCTAAAGAAGGAGGATTTTTATCACACGTTGGCCCACTAGTGCAGTGTCTTGCCTGTGAAAGTGATACATACCTGATGCTGCAGCAGCAGATTTTCACTACTTTACCAGTAAAGGTACATTCTACAGCAGTGGCATCACACACCCTGTTTTGACCCCCCCCCCCCCCATAGCAGCAAAACTTGTTGAGCCAAAAAAAGGAACTGAATAGGGCAGCAAAACTTGGTTGGGGAGGGGATTGACCGGGGTGGGGAGAGGGGTGTTGGGCCACCTCACACCCCCTGGAATTTCTTCACGCCCCCCCGTTTGGGAATCCATGCTCTACAGAATGTTAGAGAGGTATGATTCTTTCCGTATCCTCTCAGACTTGCAGTTTCATTCATGTATGTAATATTCCTGTCCCTCTCTCTTTAAGTACAGGAACAATTAACTTTAGAAACACATATTCCTAAAATATGTTTCCAACCCTCAAGGTAACATTTGATTATGCATATTATCTTAGCTTTCATATATGAAATAATTATCTAGTCACAGCGACTGATTCTATGACCTATGATAAGGAATTCCAAAGGTTAACTGTACACTATGTGTAGCAATATTTGCCTTTTATTTTGTTCCAACTGTACTGCCCTTTAATACATTGATTATTCTCTTCCAACATTCCAACATTGTGATGGGGCAAAAATAAGGGCCCAGTGATTTTGCTTTCTTAGTTTTGACTATCTCAATCAATTATTTTCTAGCCTTTCTCCTTTGCTGGCTAAATAATCCTACTTCGTGAATGCTTTCTAACCACATCTCTTTTGTATCTGATAAAGATCTTCATAATACAATAGTAAAAAATCCTAAGTTTTTGTAGTCTCTTATCACCTCTGCTGGACCCGTTATCTCATTTATCTGAAGAAGTGGGTTGTGCCCACGAAATCTGATGATACCATCTACATTTTTTTGTTAGTATTTAAGGTGCTGCAGAACAAGTTGTTGTTTTTTAAGTTACTATGGCTACCTCTATGAGACTACCCCGTCTAGTCTATTTTTTTTCAATCCCTGCACAGATGAAAACAGTAATCGAGACGCTGATCCATCATTGTGTGATGTATTACTCTCTTAGGGTATGTCTACACTACTCCACTAGTTCGAACTAGTGGGGGTAATGTAGTCATCCGCAGTTGCAAATGAAGCCCGGGATTTGAATTTCCCGGGCTTCATTTGCATGAAGCCGGCCGGCG